GTGAATGCATCATCCGGAGCAAAGGAAAGAGAACCTGAGACTGGTCTGGCAAGTCTTTCTGAAATGTGCATCCAACAAAGTAAAGATAATGTTGAAGGAGTTGAAAGGAAGTTGAAAGAAAAAGCACCTCTTGCTGTTCATGAAATTATTGAAAAGATTCAGCAGGTTAGTGTGCACAGTTTTGTTGTTTACTGTGTCTAAGTTTTTTCTCTAGTATGTTATACTGGATTAGTTCTTTTTAGACTAGAATTTTGTTTTATTTGTCAATTCCTTTTTTGAGTTATAATTTGTCTGTTTTTTTTATTAGGCTCTTGAAAAAAATATTTGAGTTTGTTTGGTTTCCAGTATGTTATACTGGATGATTATTATATTATAGTTCAGTTTTGTTTGATTCCTGTATATTTTACAGTATATCTACGCTGTGTAAGCTTGTTGTCCAGTATATTATACTGGATGAGTTCTGTTTAGACTAAAAAATTTTTAGTTGTTATTTATTTTTTGATTGATTAATAGTACTTTTTTTTATTGTCCTGTGAATCTTTGCTTTCCAATATGTTATACTGGATGATTATTATATTATAGTTGAGTTTTGTTTGATTCCTGTATATTTTACAGGAATTCTATCATGTTTAAGCTTGTTGTCCAGCATATTATACTGGAAAACTAGCATCTGTAGACTGTTTTATCTAGTAAATTATATTGGATATGTATAATTTATTTCATTTCATTATGTTTTTCAGTTCTAATAATCTCTCCATTTCTTTTTTGCTTTTTTTGAAGCAGGGAAAATTGTATACTAGGAAACGAAAGAGGAATTCTATGGATTCATGCCCTAAGTTTAATATTTTGTCTCAGTCAAGTATTTCAAATTATCCTGAACCTAATGTTGATCGCACCCCTGCTGAACAATCTGTTCTGCTGATATACAAAAAAATGATTCTGATAAAAATATTTTTTTGTATTCAAGTGTGGATGAGGGAATTTATGTTTCTCCTCTTAAAGTTGCTAAGTTTGTTTCTCAACTAGATGATAAGAAGGTACAAGGTGAAAATGAAAAAGAAAATTTTGCTTCCTGTAAAGGAAAAGAAGTGGCAGGAGCACAAGTACCGCAGATTGCACAAAGTGCGAATGTAGAAGAAGAATTGCTTGGTAGAGGAAAAAGAAATCGTAATGCCAGTTGGCATTTAAAATCTCCATATAATGGAACATGTAAATGTCTGAATTGGAATCCAAAATATGTTCGAAGATGTTGCTGGCGTTATCGTAAAACAATCAAACGTGCTGAGGATAATTTTGAAGCATATTTAAAGGAGAACAAGAGAAGAGGTCGTCTACCAAAGTGAGTTTCGATATTTAGTTTATTGTATTTTTATTTGATATATATGTTATTAAAATTTCACTTCTTTTTTTATTTTTCATATTTGTTTTGTCCTTGTTTTTTTAGGGATGTAACTGATATTTACAAAAAAGATCCTATACTGCAAGGAAAGTCATATGAACTTTACAATGAGAAAGTCAAATCAAGAATGTTCTTTAAAGAGATGGTAGATGATAAGTATACATTAACTGATGCGGTATGTATATATTTTTTACGTTGTGAACTTTTGATTTTCTTTCATATTATACTTGACATATTTTTTTTTTGTTTTATATTCAGCACATAGATGTTGTAATGTATTTTTTGAGGAAGAAGCATATATATCACTTCAATGAGTATCCATTTGCTTCAACAACAACAGATCTGGACTTTAATGACACTTTGGAATTTGCATATAATGACTGGCATAAACATCCAGAAAAATTTACTAAATTTCAATTTTGGAATGAAGGATTGGGATTTGGTCTTATTCAGTATGTATTGGGTGAGAATCGTAGATGTGGGATTCCATGGTCATCTGTTGATAAAGTTTTCTGTCCGATTCGAGTTCCTGCAAATATTGTAGATGGTGAAGTTGCCTTAGATTGTTGCACTCATTATTACCTGGCAGTGTTAGACTTGAATGAGAAGACTATAGATGTATATGATTCTGTGTATCAGGGATATGATTATCAAGTTATAAAGGAGCAGATTCTTCAATATCAGGAATTTATTCCTATGATTTTGGAGTATTGTAAATTTGGTGACTTGCATCCTACATTTGGGCATGAGTATAAACCATTTGTTCTTCAATGGAAAGAATCACCAAAACAGATAGGGAACACAAGTTGTGGTGCATTTGTTATAAGATTTGTTGATATGTTGATGCAGGGTAAAGATGTTATGTCAATTGTGCCCAATACAATCAAATATTATCGTCAGTATCTTGGTTTTAGTCTGTGGGCACAGGCAGAATGGAAACACAAATCAGGGTATGAAAGTCCTCCAGAGATGGTTGGTGATGATTATGGAAATGAATGGAATAACTTTTGTAAATATTCTTTAAATTATGGCAGCTTTGAATTGTAAATACCCTGATAAACATAGTTTTTGAATTATATGTTAAATATTAATACTTTGTTGATATATAAGCAGATTTTGTAGTTTGAATTTTAAAATGTTTTGCTTCGTGTATATTATGTTGCAGAATCTAATATGTGAAAGCATATCATCCGGTAAAGTTTATAGAATTGGAGTTCTTATATAATCCGGTAAAGCATAATCTCCAGTATTATATACTGGCTGAGCACAATCAAGACTTTTCCGCGTTAAAATATCATGGTATAGCCAGTTTTTAAACAGGTCAATGAAAAATAGCCAGCGTTTACCAAGTCAATGAAAAATAGCCACTATTTTGCTGCAACAGGGACCGGGCCAGTATAATATACGGGAGTTCTGGTGCATTTGTGTACGAACTCCAGCATATTATGCTGGACCGGTATACTTTGCTAACTCCTGTAAAATTTGCGAGAGACTGGAGCACCAGTGCTCCAAACTCCAGTATATTATACTGGACAATTATACTTGCTGGAACTCTCGTAAAATTTAGCTGGAACTCCCGTAAAATTTGCGGGAGTTCCAGCATAGTTATCCTGGATCTCCCGTAATATTTACGGGAGTTCAAGCATACTTAAGCTGGAACTCCCGTAAAATTTGCGGGCATATTTTTTCGGATTTTGAATAGTGTTTTCGTTCAAATTTAAAGTGGCTAAATTTCGATGACTTTTGAAACTTGGCTATTTTTCAACAAGCAGTGTTAAATCAGGCTATAATAATCCAAATTTTTTTATCATAAATTCGTCCAACTTATGCTGGAAATACTATTTATGAAGGCATATAAGCCAGTATATTATAATGGAGAAGTTGAAAATAATATCTAGGACAATTGAGAGAAATTAAATAATTTAATATTTTATTTCCTGTAGATTATACTGGAGGTGTATATGTTTAAACACTACGTCCTATATTTAATACTGGATGTGAATAATCCTAATTATTTCACCCTAAATTCGTCCAGTTTTGATTACTCCCCTATAAAATATAGTGCTTATGAAGTGATATAAGCCAATATATTATATTATAATGGATAATTGGAAAATAGTGGAAACTCGGTAATTAGAACAATTTACTGGAATTAAATAATTTAATATTTAGTTTCCTGTATATAAAAGGTATTAGGTCTGTTTGATTTTGACAGGTTCAGAGCGCATATTCCAAGAAAATTAGGTTCTAAACGATGCGCTACTAAATCCTATCTCCAATTTCCAGGGTTTAGTAGCTTGTTCTCGAGGTTTAATTTTTGAAATGTCAAGCTTAATTTCGAACACTTGATTTTATGGGTACAAAGCACTCACTCAAGCATAAAAAACCTTTTCATCCAATCTCAGTGTCATCTGATTTTTCTGATTTTGTTATAGAGAACGAAAATTATTCTCTTACAATGGCAGAAGTTGTTAGTTTAGAACGGACTCGTTCACAAAGGGATAGAGCACGAAATACCTCTAGATCAGCTTCGAATACCTCTGGGTCAGCTAGTATTAGAATAACGCGTTCTCAAAGTTCTAAGGAATGCGAAATTAGTGATTCCAAAAGTATCAAGGAACCAGTAGTTGATGTTTCTCAAAATAATATAAAGCCTACAAAAAAGAGGAATGATTCTGAATCAAATACTCATACGAGAAGAAATTCTAAATCATTTTTGAAGGTAAAATATATTACACATTATTTTATTTATACATGCTCTGTATAATGTTTACCATGTAATATACTTATATATGTATCTGTATTGTATTGCAGCTCAATGCAAGTGATAGACCAATACTTGGCAATAACTTTAATTCTGAGATTGTTAGCAATTTGAAAACAAAATTATCAACAACGCAACTTGAACTCTTTAAGTCAACTTGTTTTGGCTATTTGTTGAATTTGCCTAGTATAAAACTGCAAACACAGTTAATATATTATTTGTTAACCAAGGAGGTAGAAAAAGGGAAAGCGAATCAAATGGTGTTTCTTGTCAATGGGGTAAAGCTACGTTTTGGATTGGCAGAGTTTGCTTTTGTAACTGGATTTAAATGTACCCGTGACGTACAGCTTTGTAGTGAAGTTAGGCAAAACAAAAATGGTTCAATTGCAAAGTACTTTAAGGATTACCCTACTGTTTCTAAAGAACACCTTGTGGATTGTTTTCTTACAAAAATATTTGACTCTGATGAAGATGCTATTAAGATAGCAGTGCTATTTGTTGTATATTCATTCCTTTTTTCTATTAAGAACACCAAACATATTGATAAGAAGTACTTGGACTTGGTTGACAAGGGTGATTACAATAGTTATCCATGGGGAATAGATTTATATGAGGAAACATTGAGAACAATTTCAGGTGTTTTGGATAAGCAACGACAGTATTATTGACTTTCAGGATTCCCTTATGCTGTTCAAGTATGGTTCTACGAATGTTTTGGATATTTGGATAGTTATGTTGCTTGTAGGCGTGAAAATATATCTCCACCAATTCTTCGATGGAGTGTTACACGACAGCTGAAATTTGAAGAGTTAAACGATAAGCTATATGGCTTACCATCTAAGAAGGTAATATAATTATTTTTTTGTGTTTCTCATNCAGATTCTTTTCTAAATGATAGATGCAAATTTCATGGTAGCACTCAGGGAAAACCTTTGCAATTCCATTTGCAATAGCCTTGTGTCGATCTGACAAGAACATTAAATCATTACGAATCCCAATTGCTTTTCTTAATTCTCTGAAATACCATTCATATGATTCATTATTCTCTTTATCCACTACTCCAAAAGCTATAGGTAAAATCTGGTTATTTGCATCTTTGGTAACACCCACTAATAGAACACCTCTATATTTATTTTTTAGAAATGTTCCATCAACAGCAATCAGTGGTCTACAATACTTCCACCCAGAAATTGATGCCCCATACATAAAAAACATGTAAACAAACCTGTAAAAAGAAAAGTAAATAAAATTCAGTTAACTTACACAGTATAATATACTGGAGATAAAGCTCATGCCACACGTCCTATAAAATTTACGGGCATCAAACAAAAATTAACTATTTTATAATATTCTTCCAGTATAACATACTGGAGTTCCATTAACATCTAGTATAATATACTAGATAAAATAAACTAAAAATACAAAATTTTAGGTTAAACAGAACTCACCCAGTATATTATACAAGACAGAAAGCTTATAAAATACAGATATCCTGTAAAATATACTGTATGACAACCACTAACATCCTGTATAATATACTGTACAAAATCAAATACAATAGATTGAAGATAAGTCACCCAGTATAATTTACAGGAAAGAAAGCTTTTACAATACACACGTCCTGTAAAATATACCGGAAGACAAACACTAACTTCCTGTTTAATATACTGCACAAAATAAAATAAAATTGAAATACATAACTTAATATTTTGTTTCCTGTATATTAAACTGGAGTTATATACTGTTAAACCACTATGTCCCGTATTTAGTAATGGACATAAAAAATCACTCAAAAAAAGTAATAAATAAAAAGAACTCATCCAGTATAATTTACAGGAAAGAAAGCTTATACAATACACACATCCTGTAAAATATACTGGACGACAACCACTAACATCCTGTATAATATACTGGACAAAATAAAATACAATAGATTGAACAGAACTCACCCAGTATAATTTACAGGAAAGAAAGCTTATCATAAATAAGAAATTTACCTGTTTTCTTCATCTCTCACAATATTTGTATATGATCCTGGATTTTTTTGTTCCATCATATACAAATATGATGGCAGCTGCTCATAATTGTGTTCAGTTGTTCCTCTTACTGGAGAAAAAGCTTAGACACAGGCAATGTCCCGTAAAATATATAGGATTAAAACAAAACTCAATTATAATCTAGTCTGAAAACAGAATTCGTTCAATATAACATACTGGAGAAAAACATTACACACAGGTGACGTACTTTAAATTATTCTGGATTGAAATAAAACTCAACTATATTATAACATAATATCTACATTAACGAAACATACTTCAAGTGAATTACAATACATTTTTTATGAGAATTCCAATATAATAAGCTGGAAACGTCCAGTAAATTATATTCTAGTCTAAATAGAACTCAACTATATGCTACTCTAAATAGAACTCGTCCAGTATAACATACTGGAGAAAATTTTAAACACAGGTGATTTCCTGTAAAATATACTGGATTGATATAAAACTCAATTATATTCTAGTTTATGCAGAACTTACCCAGTATAACATACTGGAGAATAAGCTAACACACAGGTAATGTCCCGTAAAATATACTGGATTCAAACAAAACTCAATTATATTCTAGTATTAGAACTTATCCAGTATAACATAAAAAATATTACATACAGGTGACGTCCCGTAAAATATTCTGGATTCAAACAAAATTCAATTATATTCTAGTCTTATAACTTATCCAGTATAACTTATTGGAGAATAAGCTTATACACAGGTGATGTCTCGTAAAATATACTTGATTCTATCAAAACTCAATTATATTCTAGTCTTAGAAATTACCCAGTATAACATACTGGAGAATAAGCTTACACACATGAGATGTCCCGTAAAATATACTGGATTAAAACAAAACTTAATTATATTCTTGTCTTAGAACTTATTCAGTTTAACATACTAGAGAATAAGCTTACACACAGGTGACGTCCCGTAAAATATTCTGGATTCAAACAAAACTCAATTATATTCTAGTGTTAGAACTTATCCAGTATAACATATTGGAGGAAAAGCTTACACACACGTGATGTCCCGTAAAATATACTGGATTCAAACAAAACTCAATTATATTCTAGTAAACTCAATTATATTCTAGTGTTAGAACTTATCCAGTATAACATATTGGAGGAAAAGCTTACACACACGTGATGTCCCGTAAAATATACTGGATTCAAACAAAATTTAATTATATTCTAGTCTTATAACTTATCCAGTATAACTTATTGGAGAATAAGCTTATACACAGGTGATGTCTCGTAAAATATACTGGATTCTATCAAAACTCANTAAAAAGAAAAGTAAATAAAATTCAGTTAACTTACACAGTATAATATACTGGAGATAAAGCTCATGCCACACGTCCTGTAAAATTTACGGGCATCAAACAAAAATTAACTATTTTATAATATTCTTCCAGTATAACATACTGGAGTTCCATTAACATCCAGTATAATATACTAGATAAAATAAACTAAAAATACAAAATTTTAGGTTGAACAGAACTCACCCAGTATATTATACAGGACAGAAAGCTTATAAAATACAGATATCCTGTAAAATATACTGGATGACAACCACTAACATCCTGTATAATATACTGTACAAAATCAAATACAATAGATTGAAGAGAAGTCACCCAGTATAATTTACAGGAAAGAAAGCTTTTACAATACACACGTCCTGTAAAATATACGGGAAGACAAACACTAACTTCCTGTTTAATATACTGCAGAAAATGAAATAAAATTGAAATACATAACTTAATATTTTGTTTCCTGTATATTAAACTGGAGTTATATACTGTTAAACCACTATGTCCCGTATTTAATAATGGACATAAAAAATCACTCAAAAAAAGTAATAAATAAAAAGAACTCATCCAGTATAATTTACAGGAAAGAAAGCTTATACAATACACACATCCTGTAAAATATACTGGACGCAACCACTAACATCCTGTATAATATACTAGACAAAATAAAATACAATAGATTGAACAGAACTCACCCAGTATAATTTACAGGAAAGAAAGCTTATCATAAATAAGAAATTTACCTGTTTTCTTCATCTCTCACAATATTTGTATATGATCCTGGATTTTTTTGTTCCATCATATACAAATATGATGGCAGCTGCTCATAATTGTGTTCAGTTGTTCCTCTTAACAAAGATAACCCCTTTTGAATAGCATGCCATGCTTTTCCATAACCAACATCAATTCCATGTGCTCTTTTCATCTCTGAAATGATAAACTTAGGTTTTACCTCAGTGGCTATGTCTCTTAAGTTGTCAATCACGTAATCTCTAATCACATTTGAAGTTGCTTGCCTTTGATCTGATTTTCGAATATCAACTGAGCACTCATGTGTTCTCTGAAATTTAACTATTTTAAAAAGTGTTGATTCCTTAATTCTTGAACCTCGAACAGTCCAAGTACACTTTTCATCAGTACATACCAAAGAGTATCTCGTGTTACTTGACCTGTTAACATAGAACTCAAAATGCTCCTTTATAGCTGCTAAGCAAAAACATCTAATCATGGCATTTTTATCTTGAAAAACAGAACCAAGTTTTACATCATCCAGTGATGCATTTTCCTTCAATATTATTGATGGAGATTCTTTTGCCTTTCCTTTTCCTTTCCTTTTTCTCCCTTCAATACTTTGTAGTGATTCAATGTGCTGATCTTCCACAGGAATTACATTTCTTTTTCCATTATAATATCATAAGTTGGATTCTCCTGCTCTTCTTCAACTTGAGATATCAGCAACACTTGCTCTTCCGGACCATATGTGTTTCTGTGCAATAACTGTTGATTATCAATTTCCATTATTGCATTACCTCTTCTAGTTGTTGATCTGGTTTTTCTGATATTTCAACAACAAATTTCGAATCTTTATAGTATGGATCATTTTTTAAAAGAATCATACACATAATAAGATCTTCATCTTTTGTCACTTCTATTCCCTTAGAAGTACCTAGGTTGATATTAAGCCATACATTTGCTTGAAACTTTTTGTTGTCAAGCTCTATAACTTCAAAAAATTTTCTAAGGAATTCTTCAAATGAAGTCCCATCATTTATCAGGAGGAGCTTCGTTTTATGATCCAAGTACTTGTAATCTGCTGTCCATTTGCCATCGAACGCAATAATCAAGAAATTTGTATGCATCCTGTATTTAATGAACCCAAATAATTAGATATCTAAAAATTATACTGTTTAAAAATATAATATTCATCCAGTATAATATATTTGAGAATAAGCTTACATACAGGTGATGTCCCGTAAAATATACTGGATTAAAACAAAACTCAATTATATTCTAGTCTTAGAACTTATCCAGTATAACATACTGGAGAAAAAGTTTAGACACAGGCGATGTCCCGTAAAATATACAGGATTAAAACAAAACTCAATTATAATCTAGTCTGAAAACAGAATTCGTCCAGTATAACATACTGGAGAAAAACATTACACACAGGTGACGTACTTTAAATTATTCTGGATTGAAATAAAACTCAACTATATTATAACATAATATCTACATTTACGAAACATACTTCAAGTGAATTACAATACATTTTTTATGAGATTTCCAATATAATAAGCTGGAAACGTCCAGTAAATTATATTCTAGTCTAAATAGAACTCAACAATATGCTACTCTAAATAGAACTCGTCCAGTATAACATACTGGAGAAAATTTTAAACACAGGTGATTTCCTGTAAAATATACTGGATTGATATAAAACTCAATTATATTCTAGTTTATGCAGAACTTACCCAGTATAACATACTGGAGAATAAGCTAACACACAGGTAATGTCCCGTAAAATATACTGGATTCAAACAAAACTCAATTATATTCTAGTCTTAGAACTTATCCAGTATAACATAAAACATATTACACACAGGTGACGTCCCGTAAAATATTCTGGATTCAAACAAAATTCAATTATATTCTAGTCTTATAACTTATCCAGTATAACTTATTGGAGAATAAGCTTATACACAGGTGATGTCTCGTAAAATATACTGGATTCTATCAAAACTCAATTATATTCTAGTCTTAAAAATTATCCAGTATAACATACTGGAGAATAAGCTTACACACATGAGATGTCCCGTAAAATATACTGGATTAAAACAAAACTCAATTATATTCTTGTCTTAGAACTTATTCAGTTTAACATACTGGAGAATAAGCTTACACACAGGTGACGTCCCGTAAAATATTCTGGATTCAAACAAAACTCAATTATATTCTAGTGTTAGAACTTATCCAGTATAACATATTGGAGGAAAAGCTTACACACACGTGATGTCCCGTAAAATATACTGGATTCAAACAAAACTCAATTATATTATAACATAATATCTACATTAATGAAACATACTTCAAGTGAATTATAATGCTTTTTTTATGAGATTTCCAGTATAATAAGCTGGAAAAATCTTCGCTTTAGATATTAATTTAGAAACGTCCAACAAATTATACTGGCGCTATGTTCTACATTGAGAAAATTAGACAATAACACAGATTAAAGCATTAAAAACAAATCAAAAATTCGAAAAATTAAATTTTTTTACTGATACTTTCGAATTTTATGGTTTGAATTCTTGATCGTAGAAGAAATTTAAATAATCAGACAAATTTTAGATAGAACTTACTTCGATTTGCAGATTGACGACGGAAATTTTGCTAAAACTTCGATTTGCAGATTGACGCAAAATGATTTTGCTAACACTTCGATTTGCAAATTAACGCCGGAAGATTTTGCGAATACCTCGATTAACGCCGAAAGATTTTGCTAATATTTCGATTTACAGATTGACGGCGAAAATTTTCCTAATAACTCGATTTGAAAATTAATGCCGGAAGATTTTGTTAAGTTTTGCTAAAAGAAGAATTTAAGGTGAAGTCGCGTAAATTAATAAAAAAAGCAGGGGTATTTTAGTCAACAAAATGTTACCGCACTAAATTAGTGGCTAAATATCGTTGACCGGTAATTATGTGACTACATTTGATTGACCAGGCGAAAAACTGACCATTTTTGGATTTTTCGCCATTAGAAGAATAAGAAATATGTCTTCAATATATAAGTAGTGCTCTCATGAATGTAAATAATGTGTCAACTCTAACCACGTAACATCGAAGAATCGATATTTTTTCCATATATGTTTGTAAATAATATCCAACATGTAATATTCAGTTCGTGTTTATAATATTCAATGTCATCTTTATCCGATTTGATAGTTATTTTCATGCATCAACTTTTATTATCTGCAATTTTTATTATGTGCAATTTTGTATTTAATATTCAATGTTGTCTTTTTCCGATTAGATAGTTATTTTCATGCATCAACTTATATTTTCCCCAATTTCGTATCAAAATAATGTTAATAAAAAATAAAGTTAAAATATCATGGTATAGCCAGTTTTCACATTGGTCAATGAAAAATAGCTAGCGTTTATCAAGTCAATGAAAAATAGCCACTATTTTGCTGCAACAGGGACCGGTCCAGTATAATATACGGGAGTTCTGGTGCATTTGTGTGCGAACTCCAGCATATTATGCTGGACCGGTATACTTTGCTAACTCCTGTAAAATTTGCGGGAGACTGGAGCACCAGTGCTCCAAACTCCAGTATATTATACTAGACAATTATACTTGCTGGAACTCCCGTAAAATTTGCGGGAGTTCCAGCATAATTATGCTTGAACTCCCGTAAAATTTGCGGGAGTTCCAGCATAGTTATCCTGGAACTCCCGTAAAATTTACAGGAGTTCAAGCATACTTATGCTGGAACTCCC